AAACTTCCTAAGCACCAGAGGGTTTGTAAAGCCTGTGAGCAGCACCTCTCAAGTGCCCTGCAATCAGTATGCAGGGCTGAGCAAAGCCAGCAATTACATTGTATATTTATGATGTCACAAGATTGACAGGTAGGTGGTCCTGGCCATCTACCAAAGATGCCTTGCAGAGATGAGGGGAGATAAAAAATCTGGCCCCAACCCTAAAGCAGAAGGTGATTGCAATGATGTTTTTCTTTCTGGGACTGTGGAAAGCTTCTGCCAATCATAACAAGCAGCTGTAGGCCAGTTGGATCAGGTATAAGGCAGATTTCTGCATTTGATTCAAAGCTTTATGCACTGGAACTTACTGTATGCTGAAAAATGGGCTGGGCTAGATGGGTACTACATTCAATTCAAGGCATGGCTGCGACAGTGTCTCTGGAGCTCTGTTCAGGAGATAGATGGAACTTGACCCTGAAGACCTGCAACGTTCCTTCTCTCCAGCAGCATGCTTTACTCAGCCTGATAAATGTAGGCCAGAACTACCATGTCCCAGAAATGCATTACAAGTACAAAAGAAGGACAAAAATTAACAAGCTGAAAAACAGAGACTTAGGCCACATTCACACCATATATTTAAAGTACTACGATACCACTTTAAACAGTCATGGCTTCTCCCAAAGCATGCTGGAAGCTGCAGTTTAAGGGTGCTAAGTGTTGTTAGAAGATTCCTGTCCCCAAACTACAATTCCTAGAGCTGTTTAAAAAATAAATATTGTTAGCAGCTCAAGTGATTTAGATTGAAGTAATTACTTACAGTTTCTGGAGTTCAAAGGATTTATTCATGCAGGAACTATTTACATATGAGGGAAGATATCAGAGAAATAGCAGCCATATTGTCTGGAGAAAACAGCAAACAAAATGTCTAAGTTTTTAGGGGTGGAGTTAACTTAGAGAAGCTACAAACAGGGGATAACTAGATCACTTGTCAAACAGTGCCTTCTTCTGGTTTAAGTAGAAGTTCAGGAGAAGGAAATGTACTTGCTTTTCTCCAACAAAGACTCCCTGTCTGAAACAATGGAATACTAAGCTAGATGGATCAATGGTTTGCTTATGCATAAGGCAGCATCCTATATGCTTATGTCCCTAATTTAATACACTTTGAATTCACCAATACAAGTGTTTGTTTGTTTGTTTTTGGCAGGTGGGGGTTGAACTTGTCTTGTACCACTGAACTTGTATCTCGTAAAATTATAGCTTACATTAGAAGTGTATTAATTAGTCCCCAAATTCCTGATGAACATCTTACATCTTGCAGAATGCTTATAGCAGAGGGAAAGTTAATAAATTTAATAGTCCCAATCAGCTCACATGATGCTACTTTAGAATGCTAATGTTAATGCTACCTTTTTAAAAGTGCAAATCACCTTTCCTCCAAAAGTGGGAAGAAGAAGAAGAGTTGTCATTTAGTTTGGGTAAGTCTGTTGCTTGAGGCAGTTTGCTTAAACCAGAGAATCTCAATTTTCCACATGATGGGCTACTTTCTAATTTATAATGATGTTTTAATCAAGAGACGTCCATCCATTTTGCAAGGAAAAGGAAGGCAAATAAAATATATTTTTAAACAAATGAAATGGAAAAAATCATTTCTGATGAACAAGACCTGTTCAAAACAAGGGTGCTATTTCTCTGCCCCTTTGACAGGAAGTTCTATTCGGCTGCAAAGTTTCATTTGAGAGAAAGTTTATGATAAACGTTTTCAATGTGAACCAGTAAATGATAGTCAGTTGTGATTATACTTAAGGATGTTACAATCATATTTCTGGCTTACATTACTGGCATTCCACCCCCGCCCCCCTGCCCCCTTTTAAAAGGATTTCAGCTGATTACTTTGTTCTTTTCTTCTTCTTCTTTTTGATTGGAAAGGCCACATCAAATGAAACACCTTGGAAAGATACTGTGTAAAAATAAACATCATGGATTTTGATTAACGTTAACATGGGGCAAACACTTCAGAAACATAAAAGACATCTGTAATATTGCAAAGTATCCTACTGTCTATAGAGCAGGTTAAAAAAATCCTCTACATGTGTTCAGAATATGTTCTCAAAACTGAATGGTAAGGAAGGTGAAGGGAGTTCACCACCAACCTGTTTGTATTGTATAGTGTCGCTGAATGCCTTCAGCTATGGAACCTTTCTGAGCCTAAGAGCTTCATTCCCTGATTGTCAGCTTGCTGATGACCAGTAGTGGGGAGCTTCAGAAGCAAAAGTGGACAGAGCAATTGATGTAGCTCTTAGGGCTTGCCCACACTTCATGCCTAGAAAGCACAGCTCAGAGTGGTTTTCCCTTTACCCTGCTTCTTTCCCATGGAAAACCCGCTAAATCGGAGCTAACATCAATCCATAGAAAACCTGAATTGCCATTTGCTCCAACTGAGTGCTAAAGTGTGGTTTAAAAGGTAAAGGGACCCCTGACCATTAGGTCCAGTCGTGACCGATTCTGGGGTTGCGGCGCTCATCTCGCATTATTGGCCGAGGGAGCCGGCGTACAGCTTCCGGGTCATGTGGCCAGCATGACTAAGCTTCTTCTGGCGAACTAGAACAGCGCACAGAAACACCGTTTACCTTCCCACCGGAGCGGTACCTATTTATCTACTTGCTTTCGAACTGCTAGGTTGGCAGGAGCAGGGACCAAGCAACGGGAGCTCATCCCGCCGCAGGGATTCGAACCGCTGACCTTCTGATTGGCAAGTCCTAGGCTCTGTGGTTTAGACCACAGTGCCACCCGCGTTCCATAAAATGTGGTTTACCCTGGGGGGAAACATCAGGGCAAGAAGAAGTGTGGATAAATCCTTAAAGTCAGTTTCATTCCATCCAGGGCAAGAGACATTATCAGACACATTCCAGCCAGTAAAAATCATTCATTGTGGATGTGGAACAAGACTGGTGGTCCGGGGAGAGTGGGTGTGACTGGGAAGAGTCCTGAGGGTGGACAGAGAAAACTGGAGGGCTGTGTACTCAGCTTGAGAGCTGAATGTTCCTTATTTGTGGTCTTGGGGTTGTGTGCTATGTGCCAGGTTAATGAAAAAAGAAATGAGAGGCAAATATAATGATGGCTCTATATCAACTGCAGCTGATAGCTAACTTAGAGAGGATCACCCTGGTTGAAAATTGGAGATCTGGAATGAATGTTGAAGCTTAGAACTGAAGAAGAAAGCAGTGGAGTATTTACTTGGGTTGTTTCTCTCCCAGATTTTCCTGCCATGATAAATCTTACAACAGCATGTGTAAAGGAGTGAGTTCTAATGAACCAGGGGCACCGACTTGCCTCACATGACCCCTCTGCCATCCTGCCCCTGCATGGCGCATGAGTGCTCACCTGGTAGCAGCAGTGGGGGGTGGGGATCATGGAGGATGATCTTCACCCTCCCTGTGTCCTGCTCCTGCCCACCACGCGAGCACTGCTCGGTAGCAGTGGGCTGTGGAGGATGGAGGCCCTCTCAGTATGGGGGGGCTCAGTCCCCTACTCACAAATATTGTGGTGGCTGAAGCCCCTTCGACCCCTATAGTTGGTGCCCCTTCAATGAATCCATTCCTAGGGATAAGGGCCAAGTATGTTTTAGTTCACACTTGAAGGCAAATCTGCATAATTTGCACTTTTAGAACCAATACATGAACTGAAAAACAGCCATCCTTCGAAATTCATAGGATTTTGAAATGTCAGGTGCAGTTTACAAAAATGATATACTGTACTGGATCAGGAATGCGGATAAATTTCGGTATGCATTTCATGCATTAAAACAGGGTCAACTGCAAAGGTGTGTATATGATTAGGCAGCGTTTCACACAAAATGTATATTGTTGCACGTCACCCCAATCTCTAAGCGGTGCAAGATTCAAGGGGTTCAATGCACTTGTCCAGAGTTTGTGCTCCTTCTGGAATGAGGGACAGTGGAGATTGTTGTATTGTTATATATGGTTTATTTCTACATATATACAACCTGAACCCATGATGGAGGGGCTCACAGCATTAACACCCCAAGAGGATCTATCTCACATAGCCACAGCCTTGGATTGCAGGAAAAATCAGGCATGTCTCTCCCTCACTGCTTTATCAAGTTTCTATTTTCTAGCTTACATACACACACCCACACCCACACCCTCAGCTCCAGCCTTTGTCCAACAAGTGAGGGAGTGGGGGACCACCCTTTTGCCACCTGGCACACATCCACTTCCTTTCTTCCTTTAATGGCCCATTACATAGGTTATCGCCTCATCAGAAAGGTAGCTAGGTTAGTCTAGGATTCTTAATCCTTGCTTAAATTTTAACCCTTGCTGGATGATGAAGGAATGTTCCTTCACGGCCCATAAAGAGAGCATAGTAGATGAACAACATCTAGGGCAGGCATAGGCAAACTCGGCCCTCCAGATGTTTTGGGAATACAACTCCCATCATTCCTAGCTAACAGGACCAGTGGTCAGGGATGATGGGAGTTGTAGTCCCAAAACATCTGGAGGGCCGAGTTTGCCTATGCCTGATCTAGGGGATCAAGGTTCCATACTGATCCCTTTTGCATTAGTCTTCAGGGCTGCCACCTCAAATTAGGTCATTAAAGTATAAGGGTTGTGGCTCAATGGTAGAGCGTCTACTCTGCTTGCCAAAGGCCCCAGTTCAACCCCCAGTATCTCTAGGAAAGGCTGACAATTTTCCATCTGAAACTTTGGAGAGCTGCTGCAAAGCAGAATAGACAATACTGAATTAGATGGACCAATGGTCTGATTTGGTATAAAGCAGCTTCCTTTGTTCCTGAAACATGTTTAGTTTCTTAAATCAAATCATCCATTCTCAATAACTGAACTGTACACTTTTCACTTGTAAAAATTCTTCTGCTTACTTTGTTTTAGACACACACTGAATCCACTATTTCAAAAATTTATATGGTTTGAAAAATAAGCTGAATTTCCTGCGCTTCAATATTTCATGAATAAACCCAATTAGCTGAAGACATTGTATATTCAAACTCATTCTCACATTGTCCCCTAATTAGTTTTATTCATGAAATATTGACAAAGAGGAAATCCAAATTATTTTTTCACCATGCATTAAATTTTTGGAGCGAATTCATTGGTTAAAAGAAAAAGAAAAGAAAAAACACCCTACACAAGACAAAATAATTAATCAATTTTTACTCTTAATGCTCACAAAAGTTACTTTCCTGCCCCACTCCAAGAGCATTGTTATTGGCAGGGAGCCAATGAGAATCAGGGACACTCAGCAGCAGACTTATGCTGGGTATTTGTGATGTCATGAATCAGAAATGCAAGGCAGGAGTAGATCTTCTTTAAAACGAAAAAAATGAGCAGTTTGGGTGGTTCTCATCTTTATAGGAAGGAATTCATTGAGAATGCAGATCATGCTGAGGAAGTCCTCTTGAGCTCTGCTACAAATAAGGATGAGGGAGAAGTTTGATTCAGTTTGCCAATCTACCTAATTTGTGCTTTCTGAAGCTATATGTGAACTGAAACAACTTAATTCCCTTACAAATTCAGAAACACCAGGTTTAGAAATGCATTCAGAAGAATTTAGGTATGACACTGCTTAGCAGTGGTCACAATCTAAAAACCCTTCACTGGTAGCTCTCCTCACTTGTGGAGGATAAACTATAAGGTGGAAGACCTGTTTCGGTGGCTGTGCCCCAGTAATGGAACTTCTTCTCTTGGGAGATCCATACGAAAGAATCCATGCAGATCCTTCTCCAGCCAAAGAGGGCCTATAGGACAAAGCAGAAAGTGTGGCCTCAAATCAACACTGCCCAGAACAGTCATACCTAGAATCATAGAATCATAGAGTTGGAATAGACCACAAGGGCCATCGAGTCCAACCCCCTGCCAAGCAGGAAACACCATCAGAGCACTCCTGACATATGGTTGTCAAGCCTCTGCTTAAAGACCTCCAAAGAAGGAGACTCCACCACATTCCTTGGCAGCAAATTCCACTGTCAAACAGCTCTTACTGTCAGGAAGTTCTTCCTACTGTTTAGGTGGAATCTTCTTTCTTGTAGTTTGGATCCATTGCTCCGTGTCCGCTTCTCTGGACTTTACCTGAACTTTATAAATGCTTCTCTGATTCTGTCGAACAAGTGCTACTAGAAACTGCGTTGAATAGCAACCTACAACACAGCTATATCCTTTTGGGCAAAAGTAAAAGTTCCCCAACTGGTTTGAGGCTGGCATTAAGGACATGGAACCTTTTATCACTGCAAAGGGTTAGGCTCTTGTGAACTAGAAGCATGTGTCTTGTGAGAAAACGCTTGCTGCACTGAGAAAGGCAAGGAGTGATGCCCAGTGGATTGACTACTGACTAAATGACTACTGGCTAAAGCTGTGCCAGAGCATTCAACCTGCTGCTGACAGCTACACATGTAGGGAGGTGTGATGGGCAGAGCGCTATCAAGAACTGAACTCATGGGAAAACATGGTCTTCAACTGAACAGTTACCAACTATGCTTATCTTGGGAGAGCTGGATGTCCCTCTAACAATGAGCTGAAGAATGCCATCAACTCTCAAGTATGTGCTAAATCCCCAGGACAAAGGTTGAATCCCAATAGAAGTGTTGAAAGCCAGTCTCAACACCTCCCTCATGATGCACCTACACAGCCTTCTCTTGCAGTGTTCGTTAACAGGATCCAAACCACAAGGCATGAACAACTCCAGCATTGTGATCCTCTACAAAGGTGACCACCATGACTAACAACTACCATGGAATCTTCCCTGCTGAGTACTGTGGGTAAAGCCTTTGCCCCTGTGGTTCTCAACAGATTACAGTCACTCACTGACAGGGTCTATCTCAAGTCACAATGTGGTTTTAAAGCTCAGAGGTGAACAGTGAACATTATTTTCACAACTGTGTCAGCTGCAGGAGAAATGCCAAAAACAAAGATACCCCCTTGTACATTGCCTTCATAGACCTGATGAAGGTCTTCAACCACATTGGCTGAAAAGGACTCTTCATACTCCTCAACAAGATAGGATGCCCACCTAAGCTCTACAAGATGATATCCTTCCATGAGAATGGAGCACCTTCTAGTATGACAGTACAACCTCTGGCACCTTCCCTATAAACAGTGGCATGAAACAGGGCTGTGCTCTTACCCCAACTTTCTTTGGCATGTTATTCCCACTGTTGTTCCCATATGCCTTCAGTTTGAATGAAAATACAGTGGTACCTCGGGTTAAGAACTTAATTCGTTCTGGAGGTCCGTTCTTAACCTGAAACTGTTCTTAACCTGAGGTACCACTTTAGCTAATGGGGTCTCCCGCTGCCGCCATGCTGCTGCCACATGATTTCTGTTCTCATCCTGAAGCAAAGTTCTTAACCCGAGGAACTATTTTTGGGTTAGCGGAGTCTGTAACCTGAAGCGTCTGTAACATGAAGTGTCTGTAATCCGAGGTACCACTGTAGTGTGGACTTCCGTTCAAGGAGTGACAGGGGTCTGCTCAACCTGGCATGTATCCAAGCCAAGACAAAACTGCAGCAGGTTCTTATCCAATGAATGTTGTTTGCAGGCAACAAAGATGACACAGCTTTGCACTCCAAAGAACCTCTATAGAGCCTCATCAACCATTTTGCTCAAGCCTGCATGCCCAAGCCTCACCATTAGCCTGACAAAGACCAACACCCTGAGTCAGGGTGTTGCCAGCACTCCACACATTAGCACTGGTGACCGCACACTTGAGGTGGTAGACAATTGTGTGTACCTTGGCCCACCATAATAAGCAACCTTTCCATTTATGCTGAGCTGGACAAGTATATTGGTAAGGCAGCTATAGCAGTGGCTAGTCTAACCAAAAGGACATGGGAGAATGTGATGCTAATGACCAATACCAAGATGAAGGTCTACCAGGCTTCAGTGTTTAGCAGGGGTAACCTGTCTCTCCTGTATTATTATCTACAGCCACAGTAGGCATTGTAAGTCTCCAGTGGTGCAACTTTACCCCTGATGGTGCACTCTTCCATTGTCACTTGAGACAGATGGATACCAACAACACATGCTGAGAAACAGAGAGCGTACAGATCTCCTCTACCTTTGCACAATTCCAGATTTTGCATTGTGTCTATGTTTTAATTGTCTCTTCGGGGTGAACAGAAAGAACCCCCAAGTTTCAACATTTAGACTATGCATGATATTTGTCAGAAAGCTCCTTTTCCTCCCCCCTCCTAATAATTTATATTTTTTAAAGGAAGGGTTGATTAATGATCCTTGATTTATTGGAGTACTGCATGAAAAACCCATCTTGTTAGTCCTTTCAAGAGATGGTGCCACATGGGATGTGAAATTGTTAGCATTTGATGTCCCTCTGGTTCTAGCAGGCATGATAGTTTTATTAGAAATGTGCCGATTAGTGGTTTTATTTTCTGCCATTTCAGAGTTCTTTCTTCAGTGACCTTTTAACAGAAAAGAGCTGTGGGTCTGCTGGGGATGAGCAGCCTGTTACCTAGGGAAGGTGAATAAATCGTCATAAATCTTTATAGGTTATTATAAACCAGAGTTATCTTATCTCTAGCCAATCTGATCCTAAATTGTAATGACTCAGATTAGTTTTGATACAGCTGCTGCTAAGGCAGTGCAGGAAGCCTCCTGAGACATAAGAAAGACTTTGAAAGAGCCTTGATTCAGACTACCTTCTAGCTTAATGTATTTGCCAAATGAAGGAACTGAAGGAAACACAGCCCTTAAGAACAAAGGACAGGAACAGCAGCAGGGGCTAATGTGAGCCAGGGTTAAGCACTGGACTGAATTTTAAATGTCAAGATACAAACCCAGAACATTTAAAGCCATAGTAAATTCCTTTGAGCATGCATAGAGTGACATACAATCACCCAACATCCATTCCAAAAATTGTCCAAGGACTTTGGTTTGCATTCTGACACAATGTGATGCAGCTTTTGCTTGACTGTAAGGCTTTAGAAGAGAGTTAGGGAAGCCAAAGCCCAGGAAGGCAAATGTGGCCCTTCAGTCCTCCCTATCTCGCTCCTGAGGCTCACCCCAGAGCATAATTCCTCCTCAACCACATTCCCTCCCTAGCCCTGCTTTACACCATCCATGAGTGTCCTTACCTGGCTCAAATGCTCCCGTGAACTCTTGCTTACCTGGTTGGAGGAGACAGAGAGGCATGAGTATGTGTGAATTAACTAGCCTATTGTACATAAGAAAAAATTCTATTAATTACCCCACCCATATTTGGTTTCTGGCTCCTCCAGCCACTGACATGTGGCCCTCAGAAGGTTGCTCAGAAATTAATGTGGCCCCACCACTGCTTTAGAATCCCCTTGCTGCAGAATTGCATGTTTGCATACTCCTTCAATTTAAAATCTATTGTATTGAAAATAAGAATGACACAGGGAAGGATTGCCACCTAATTTTTCAATTACCATGCTATGGTGTTTTTTTTCTGTTTAGTTCCTGCCTCCCCTGTTATAAAACAAACCTTTCAAATAAGTTGGCTCCCTCCATTCTCCTCCTAACATGCACATTTTGGAGTGGTAGAATCCAGCAAGAGCTGCTGGACCACATGCCTCTGTTGATCACACAGCTCACAATAGGTCTCAAATCTTCTTAATGCAGCTCTTGCTTTCTGTTCAAGTCGTGCCGTCAGCATCAAATTGCGAATTGCAGGTTGCTAAATGAGGCATACTCACTCAGAACCTAGTGTCTTCCAAGTATGAAGGGAAAATGAAGGCATGGTAGTTTATCACAAATTTGATTCTTCACTTGGTTCACTCTACATTTGACTAATGTCCTTGTTTCCTCATTTTGAGGGCATCAGCACGGGACCCCAACATTTGAAATCAAAATAAATAAATGAGGATTGGATGTTTTGATTCTTTGGAAAGGAAGGGGACGCCTTATCACACCCCCACCCATTCTGGGGAAGAAAATAAATCTTCTTTTGCAAAGAATTCCAGATTCAAATGTGCATAGAAGTCCCATGGGTTTAGACCTGGAGAGTCTAAATTGTAAGGAGAACATTATTTACTAGAGAGCAACTGTGAAAAAATTAATGTACCAGGACCTTTTTTGCCCCCATTCCAGCTTTTCTGGATGGATTGCAGCTGTAATGAACCTTATCTGATTTCTATTCATCTGGCTCAGAATGGCTGGAATTGGAAATGAAAATTTAAAAGATTGCCCTTTGTGTTGTCCTTTTGCACCCCCTTACATTTTTAGTGGATTTTTTTAAATCCAATTTTAATTCTAATTTAGCTAGATCATCTGTGCATCACAGACAGTTTCCCATGCAACAGAAACAACATTGCAATGCAGTACAAAGATAAACGAGGTTAACCCCCCACTCCACTTAATCTCCATTAATAATCATGATGTAGCACCTCACCTGTTCACCTCCAATTTACATACTATTAATAATTAATATTTTTGTTCCACCCTTTTCACCAAAGAGCTCATCACAGCAACAGCAACCCTATGGGGTAGTTTATGCTGAGAGACAGTGGCTGCCTGAACCACATCCAACAGACTTTGTGCAGTGTAGGTTGGCCCATTAAGGCTGATGTGACACTGCCACATCAAGCTTAGTCTGCCCTAACCTGCCTGCCTTCTTACTTACATCCAGTCCAGGGCGTGGGACTGACTGCCAGCTTGCTTCTCATTAATTTCAATTTTGTCCTTGAATAATTCAGCAGGGAGGAGGATGGGAACAAATCTAGAAATAGTTGGCTCTCTGCTTGTCATCGGCACTGACTCCACCTGCTGTTGGGCTCCCTATCTTCCATCCAAATGAACACCAGCCACCACTGACTTTGTGGTTGGGTGGAGATTTGAACTTGTTTCTCAACCAAACAACTTAACCACTGTGCCACACCACATTTCCCCTTGTATTTTGTTAAGGGAAACATAACCCTGATACTTACAAAAATGACAAGTAAATAGGGTTGTTTGATGCCCGGTAAATGTTGCAGAAGGAAGATAGATTTTTGACCTGATAACCATGATTTCTCGTGTGCACAGAACTCATGCATATGTGGATGTCCCCACTAATTTTAATGGAGGGAACAACTGCACAGATACATTTCTTGTTTGGGGAACTGACCAAAGCTGAATGGTATGCTTTGAATGTAGAAGGTATTGGATAAGGGTGTGCAAAAGATTTGGACAAACCCTGAAACAAGGATGGGAGCGAGTCTGCTATGCACAGATTCAGAGGTTTGGGGTTCTTCAGAAACTCAGAAGTTAAAAAACAAACAAAACCAAAAACCAAAACCCAAAACCCAGCAACAACCCTACAGTCAGTGGGCACCCCTATTGTGGGATCAGCACCCAACATGCTAAATAAATAAATAAATAAATAAATATGCAGTGTCTGCACAACTCACAATACCAGTTTGTATTTTCCCCATTAATCCATATTTATGTTTTACATGGGAAATCTGAGAAGTAAAGATAACAAACAAACATGTTGCCAATAACTCATTTGCAATATCTGAACCATCCATTTGCAATACTAGCACACACAGCCTGTCTGGAAGCACCCATTGTGTCTGCAAAAGCTGAAACATTACTACTCCAAGCTCACCCGGAGGGGGAGGGATGACCCTTTTCTGATGGACATATCTAGCTTCTAAACAGACAGAATGGTTTCACCAGAAACAGTGCTTGGGAGAAGGGAAGTTGGAGTAATGCATCACCTTGTTCTTGTCTGCCCTGTGCTCTTTGCTTGCTCTTCTAGTGGCTGCCCAGCCTCTGCTTGCAGACCTCCAAAGAGGATGAGCCTATCAGCCCCAACATAATTGGTTCCATTATTAAATGTCTCTTACTGTTTAGATATTCCTTCTAATGTTCAAGACTTAATTCACAAACCCTTAGGTAAGGGAATGGGGAAGGGTCACAAATCACTTGAGAGAGAAGCATGTCAGATTACTCATGGACAACATGTGGGATGTTTGCTTCTTTAAAAAAAAGTATAAAAAAAATCTACCACAGCAGTTCCATTTTAATCCCCAAACCAAGAATCAATCTACATTTACTATTTTAATGTTATTAGAATGTCACAGGGCATAATGGTAAATTAAAAATGTTCCTTACCTAGTTTCCTCCATAACCATGCAGTTTCCTTTTCTGCCAGTTCCTGGTTGCTCTGCAGTGCCCTCTAGTGTCACATTTCAATAACACAAATTTAAATGTTACAAGCAAAACATAATGCAGCCAAATGTGTTATGATAACTGTTCCTTAAAAAGGTAAAGGGACCCCTGACCATTAGGTCCAGCCGTGACCGACTCTGGGGTATCGGCGCTCATCTTGCTTTATTGGCCAAGGGAGCCGGCATACAGCTTCTGGGTCATGTGGCCAGCATGACTAAGCCGCTTCTGGAGAACCAGAGCAGCACATGGAAACGCTGTTTACCTCCCCGCCGGAGCAGTACCTATTTATCTACTTGCACTTTGACGTGCTTTTGAACTGCTAGGTTGGCAGGAGCAGGGACCGAGCAACGGGAGCTCACCCCATCACGGGGATTCGAACCGCCGACCTTCTGATTGGCAAGTCCTAGGCTCTGTGGTTTAACCCACAGTGCCACCCGCGTCCCTTAGAACTGTTCCTTAATCCTTCCTTAATGTTATAAACCATGAGTGTAGATCCTCCTCAAGTAATTCAGAATTTCAAAATTCAGGCAGAAGTTTAGGGGTGCTTCTGACTTTTTCATCATCTAAATTTATCTCTATCACCATAGAGATAAATTACATAAGCAGGTCATCTACCCTGCATAATAAATGTCACACATCTCAGCTTACATGACTCCATGATCCACTTACACAGCACAACACTTCAACATACCCTGTATCATACTCCTCAAGCCATTATGTGTGTCTGCCACTACTATATCTTATATACTGAGAACCTTTCTGGTCCATGTGCATTCTCTCAGATTTGGGAAATGTGACCTTAAATCTAATCTGGATCAATCAGTATCTTTCTGCCTCTGTTTCTTGTCTGTAAAATAAGAATAACTGTATCCATACTTGCAAGAAAGTTAAGTGGGCATCCCTGCCAGAGACTAGCTAACACAGTGGCAGCTAACCTGTGACCTTCCAGATGTTGCTGGAATAAAAATTCCACCACCCCTAGTCATGGTCTGATGGGAGCAAACGTATGACAACACCTGGAGGCCCAAAGCCTAGAGACCTTGGCTGCAACACATTAAAAATAGAAAAGTGGCTACCTGGAATAACATATGGTGCCAGACCAGGCTGAATTAATTTGGAATACTCTGCTTTGCATATTCAAATGCAGTGTTTTACATATGCTCACATTCAAACCATAATGCACAAAATGTGATGACACTAGAGCATAATTAACCAATGACTTTGAAAATATGGAAGCAGGGGTCCTCATTTAGGTAGACAGCAAAAGAAATGCAGAACCCTTGCTAAGCATTCCAAGCGCCTCCTTATCATTTGGAAACAAAGCCTCAATTTGCTTTGTTCTCGGCGGCATTATTTCATGACAGAGTTTGTGATCTATAGTTATCTTGCATTACAACAACACTGAAATTCTTCACCCTTTAGTACATGCTTCCGGACTAATTGTTTGGAAGCTCCCAGATGAATTACGCCAAAGCAAAATAAATGGCATGAGCAACGTCAGGAGTAAGTGGGCGGCAGGATACAAATGCTGAAGGCAACTAAGACTTGCTTAGATGAATATCTTTGTCGTTACTTCCCCAAAGAAGACTTGAGACACAACAATTATGGTACAAGCAGGTTATATTTATTGGAATGTAACAAATTAGAGAATCTGCAGAAACCAAATAAACAGATTAGACAAATCAATGTAATCTGGGCAGCTGCATTCTATGGCCTCACAGCAAGGACTTGGAAAGAATTCTCCTTCCTTGCTACATGTACTTTGGCATGTGAACATGACATGCACAGTGAATGTTAAGGAGCATCCCCAAGGCTCCCCCACCCACCCACAATGCCAAGTCAATGAAAGGCAACTCAAGAGTGCCCTAACTCAATACTGCCTTAGGTATATAAGCAATCCATATTAAATTCTCTCATGTGCTTGGATTCAATGCCACAGGAAGCGATCAGCTCCAGCTAATTCACTTCCACCCACTCAGACACAAGCTGAGTTCTCTGCAGATCCTAAAAAACAAACAAAAGTCACAACCCAAAACAGTAAGATCCCCAGTGTTCTACCATGGGGGAATATATGTGCCCCCATGGGCCAGAATACTTAAAAAAGAATACCAGTCTGTTTACCTTATTCCAGTGTTTCCCAACCACTGTTCCGCGGCACACTAGTGTGCCGCGAGATGTTGCCTGGTGTGCCGCGGGAAAAATTAAAAAATTGAAAGATATTTTTTTTTTAAAGTCAAATTTTCGATTGGGGCGCCATCACTAGATGACCCCTGGGGTTCCCTCCCTCCCTCCCGCTCTGCGCCTCCCTCCTCCTCCTCCTCCTCCTCCGGGGAGGCCCTTCCTGGCTCTCGGCCAAGGCTTGGCGGCTGCCACTCACTCACTCGCTCGCCCACCCGTCCCTCCATCCCTGCACCTGGCCTCTCCCCCTCCGTCCCCGGCGTGGGGGCTGCCGGGATCCGTAGTCCCCTCGCCCTTGGGCTCCGCGCCCGCGCGGGGTGCGCGAACTACGTTTCCCAGCGTGGCCTGGCGGGCCGGGCGTTTTGTTTGAAGCGCTCTTCTCCCGGCCATGGAATGAGCGCGGCGGCGGCGGCCGGGCGGGCAGGGGCTCTTCCGCGCAGACCCCGCGCAGCCTGCCTGCGCCCCCGCGGAGATCGGGCGGCAGGATGGAGGCCGGGGATCCCCGCAGAGGCGGAGCGGCGGAGGCGGAGGCTGCCCCCCAGGTAGGGCTGCGTCAGGGGGTTTTTATTTTTGCAATGCTGCATCCGCGCCGGAGGGGACGCATCGGACCGCGGGGAGACCCCTTGGCGGGCGTGCAAGGCAATACATGCGTGCAGGCGTTGCATGGAGTGCAGTGCAATGCAATGGCAACGCGGCGCCCTGCATGCATGCATGCAACTTCCACCGGCGCTCCGGACTTGGCAGGTGAGGGGGGTCCCCAGTGGGCGGCAGAGAGAGCCGGGAGGGTGAAGGGGAGCCGGGGGGAAGCAGCGCTGCTCCCCGAGCCGAGCCCGGGGGGAAACTTCGGCGTCGTTGCGCCGGGTGTTGGAAGCGGAGGCTGGCGGGGGCCCCTCACCTGCAAAACCTGGTCGCCTCTCATATATTTCGTGCATTGCATTCATCGCCCGCTTTCTCCTCCAAGGAACTCCCGGGGGCGCGCGTGGTTCTCCCCGTGTTATCCTCGCAACAACAGCCCTGCGAGGTGGGTCAGGCGAGTGGCCCAAGGGAGCACCCAGGGATTGTCCTGGCCAGGTGGGGTGATTTGAACCCTGCTCTCTGCCCGGTCTTCGTCCTCATTTAGCCCCCACATGTGCATGACTGTGCATGACTGAGGTTTTCCCCCCTCGTCTTGGCTATGGTGTGAGTCTGTGCTGTTAATTAATGGGGTTCTGCCTTCGGAGAAGATGAGCCAGCCCTCAAGGAGGTGATTATGTAATTTGCTAGCAATTCATGTCCCTCCCGGCGTGACGCTGCGCGCTGACGTCACGGGGCTGTAATGGTGGTGTGCCTCGAGATTTTTTTCATGAAACAAGTGTGCCTTTGCCCAAAAAAGGTTGGGAAACACTGCCTTATTCTGTGTCCTATAAACTTATTATGGTGCACAGCCTCCCTCCAGTTGTGCTGCTCTAACAGCTCAGACCATACCAACAACATCTTCAGAGTCCTTGTTTGGAGTCAACAGATATCCTTGGTAATCCCAGCCAAAACTTCCAGAGCCATCCATTGAACAAAGCCATTCTCACCAGGGTGCATACCAGATAATAGGAAACAGCTCCTCCCCACAGCACACCCCACCATGACTCTTCTGAATGTATGCCTTTGAATGCCAAGATGGGGGGAGGGGTACCACTCACGCCCTATTTATTTGGCCTCTGTGGTAACAGGATACTGGATTAGATGGGTCTATGGCCTGAAGCAACAGGGAATGTATTATGCTTTAATTTTATTTATTAAATTTATATCCCCTCCTTCCTCCCAATGGAAAAATAAATGCTGCGAGACTATATCCAATGCTTGGAGATTGTTGTTCTTTGTCCAGAGAGAGTGGGAGTGGGGTGGGGGGAGAGAGAATATAATCACCCAACTGTATAATACAATTACATCAACAACGTGATGGGTTAGTCCTTGTGGACAGGAGTAGATAACAGGCATGAATTAGGTACCCATTCTGAATTGTGTTGCTATGCCATGCCTAATGTGCCCAGATCTCTGAAACAGACGTTGAAAGGGGTTCCTAAGAATGGATGCATCTTTTGCTGCTATAATCTAGATACAAATATGGGGCTTTTCTTTTGATGTCAGTATAAATGTACTTACACAAATGAGAAGGATATGTGTCATGCTAAGCCCAACAGAGAGATCAGGCGCAGTCTTCATTAAAAGAGGTACAAAGGATACGCCATCTGCTTCAACCAATCCCAGCTCTCAGTGGGTTTGTTTGCTCGCTCGCTCGTACTAGTTGGAGCCACCTGTTCACTTTAATTATAAACGCTTTCTTAAAACCTTGCCTTTTATGATCTCTGCATCTCACCATAAGTGAAGAAGCGGAGTGGCGAAGATGGGAAAAGGAGCCTTCATCGCAGAAAGGAGCAAAAAAGAAAAAGAGATGTTTCCGTAACATGGACTTGGAGGACAAAATAAAAATGGAAGAATCCAGAGTAAATGTGCAATGCTAGAGCACATCAAAGTTCACACCATGTTTCTTCAATCACAAAGATAAATGGCCCAATTCACTTCTCATTAACAGAAGATTTAGCTTGGTCAAGCGTCATTAACTTTAGTGGGCTTAGTTGTGACTTACTCCAGAATAAATAGGAGAGAAAAGAAGGGAATTGTGTTTTGAGATCTGATCATGAGCAGATCTTTATTTCTGAGAGGCAGCATTTATATGGATGCTTGGAGAGTTGACATTTACGTGGGGAGGCTCATTGAGGTTGCTATCACCCATCTGTGACATAAGAAGACATATTTCTTGAAAGCTTAAGTAAGAGGTGCCAAGGTTCCCACTTG